CAGGACCCGATTTGAAACCATTTAAGCACTGTGGAGCGAAAAAGTCAAATTTTGCATCAGTCTAACCCGCATGCAGAAGTTATGAATTGGTTCGTGTCTGATCTATTATGGGCAAAGTATTTTTATCTAGATCGAATAATTCTATGCTTTTGACAGTTTGGATCACTGCACATTTAAATCGGCCGTTTACGATTTTCGGACATAAGTCAGAATTAAATGTTATGTCGATTTGTCGGTGGGTCTACACTCGGCTATCCTGAGCATTGAAATCTCCGATAACGATGTTGACATCATGGTTTGGGTAACAATCCTATCATCATTTATATCGCATTTGGACCACCGGAATGATATTACAAACTTGCCCTTTCACTATTTCCTGAGGCTAGCTACCCGAGCAAAGTCGGTTAACAAAATGAAAGCAAATCAATATTAAATTCAGTGTTCACTCGGCTGTCGACAAAAGCAGGCCACTCTCGATGTGTGCCACGCGATCGTCTGTTATCTCGGCAGCAACCATTGTGTAGTCCTCCTCATTGTTCTTCATTAGCAGTTCTTTCGGTCGATGCGTCGTCGACTTTGGAAAGCAACCGTTTAGTGATGAGTGTGTGAGTACTGACCACGTTTTGCGTCCATTGGTGTAATGGAAGCGCTCTGACCCTTGTTGGCGTAACTGCCATATAATGAAACCACTGGAAGCGGTTCCAGTTCTGATGGAGGAGGCATTTTGGATAGCGGAAGATAAAGTGTTTATTGTACCTTTTGACTATAGTTTTAAGGTGTATTGTATAGTGACCAAGAATCCTCGGCTCTGTAAAGTTAATTCATTTGAGCCTTATCAAATAAATAAATAAATCAATCAATAATAAATTGTGCAGTTCCTATCGTAATGAAAACTAAATTTGATTTCAATAGCCGCAACATAAATCTGATATCATATTGTGCCTTGATCAATCATGAGGTATTTTTTCTGACGTAGAACTACGTCTTTGTCGACTATACTGGGGTGCAAGTCAAAACATATGTGTGGTGAAGGAGTGTTAGGTTTTGAACGCTTGTAACTTTGTCATTTATAGATGAAATTAAAATCCAAATACGCCAATCGATAGGATATTACATTACGAACCTGCCGAAATAAATATTTTTCCGATTTTTCTGTAATTAAACTTTTGAAAATGTACAAATGATAATTGTATCACTGTTTTCATGAAATAAGCCTTTTTCCCAAACCCAGTCATCATAAACGAATACCACTTGGTTGCACATCATTCTGCTTGAACCTGAAAAGATATAAATCAGCGCTGCTCTCCTTCCTCTGCTCATTACCGCTTCGGACGGCGTGGCACTTGGTCCTTCAGCAAGCAGGACTAAGTCAGCGGCTAAAGGTGGATCACGGCGTGTCCACCACAATGAGTAATGAGACTTGACAAAACGTGCATGTAAAATCCCCTTCCCCTTAACAACCTCTCCCCCTCCCTCCTTAACAAAACCTGAAAAAGACATGGACTTTGACGATCATTATTTTCCGGGAAATAAATTTAAGCAAACCACAATTATGTACAAACAATTAATTTTTTACATGCAGAGCCAACATATTGAAAAAAAAAATTGCTTAACAGGAGACATACACTCGATGAATTACCGACAACTGACTGTAAAACATATCTGGTACCTCTATATATGCAATTATATTAACATCCAAAGTCCATCATTTTTTCCATATTCTGTACAAAAGAAACGTTCTGCCCCGCCCCTATTCATAATAAAATGGCGGGATATTCTGTCAGTTTCTATGTGCAGGATAAATATGTAAAAAAGGAGGGACTTCGGATGTATGTTTTCTGCAAAATATGTAAAAAAGGAGGGACGTCGGATGTTAACCGAAATACATATATCATGCATCATAGATAGAGATAGATAGATAGGTTCTACGTCATACTGCGGTCGTGTCTAGGACACAACCCTTTAATTTTTTTAATGTTTGCAACTTAACTTCAAGTTCTGCTGTTAATGTCTTGTTGCTGTGTTAACCGTTCAGTCAACCAAAATGAGATCATCCTAAGCATTCAAAATATGTCACATCATAACAGAAAATTTTAATTTCAATTTGACCACCACCTTTCCTCGGGTAGTCCGCTTTTTATAACCTCTATTACTTTGCTAAGTGAAGCAAAAAGCGTTACATGAAAGCAACAAGCATCATTGGTAAAATTGACGTAAGAAATAGTGCACACAAATTTAGACTTCTTGGTAAATTTAAGGTTTAACTTCCATATCCAATTTATTTTGCAGCAAAAAAAAAATTGCACAATTAAAGGGTGTCCACGATGAAATTGCCACACACAAAATTGATTCGCAAAATTCGAGTTTTCATCCGATTGCCATCAAATTTTCAGGGATTGAGAAATAACTATTAAACTTCATTTTACCATTTTACTCGTATTTTATTTACAGTCCATACGCAAATGCCCGCACCTTGGCCTTAACCCCGGCCATAAGATTCTGCACAACCTGTGAATCAACCGTTTTTTGCATGTAAACCCATACTTTCTTCAGTTCCTCGACTGTCTTCACTACCTTAGGTCGTTTAAGAAGGTGCTGCTTCATAATCGCCCAGTACTTCTCGATGGGGCGGAGCTCCGGAGTGTTGGGAGGGTTGAACATTTTCGGCACGAAATTGACCTTATTGTCCGCATACCACTTCAGCACGTCCTTGGAGTAGTGGCATGAGGCCAAATCCGGCCAGAAGATTGTTGGGACGTTGTGGGCCTTCAGGAGAGGAAGCAGCCGCTTCTGGAGGCACTCTTTTATGTACACCTGTCCGTTCATCGTGTCCTGGGTCACGAAAGGTGCACTCCGCTTCCCGCACGTGCAGATGGCTTGCCAAACCAGGAATTTCTTCGCAAATTTGGACATCTTCTGAGTGCGGACATGCTCCGGAACGCTGAACTTATCCTTGGCCGTGAAAAACAGGTTGCCGGGGATCTGTTTGAAGTCGGCCTTCACATATGTTTCGTCGTCCATGATGCAGCATTCAACTTTCGTCAGCATGTTGAGGTACAACTTCCTGGCACGGGTTTTGGCGGACTTGTTCTGCTTCTCGTCGCGATTAGGGGCCTTTTGTACCTTGAACGTTTGAAGCCCAGCCTTAGTTTTGGCCTTCTGGACAAAACTTCGGCTTAGGTGCAGCTTCTTAGCCACATCCCTAACGGAGGCGTTCGGATTTCGGTTGAAGGCCCCAACTACGCGGTTGTGATTTTTGGTGTTGTACGGAATACTTTTTCCTTCACTTCTGGGCTTCCGATCGGTGATCAACCGTTCCTCGAACCGCTTAATCACTCGCGACACCGTGGAATTCGCGATTCCCAACGTTTTAGCGATGGAACGATGCGAGAGATCCTTGTTCTCGTGATGAATGCGCAAGATTTTATCACGCACGAGCTGTTCTTTCGACTCCATTTCCGCGAGTTTTGATCACAGGACTTTAAAACTTGCAGGATGTAAATAATGCACTATGAACTAAATCCACCCAAATTTTCATTAAATTCTACCCAACGGTTAAAAAGTTAGAGCAATTTCATAGTGTGGCAATTTCATCGTGGACACCCTTTAGAGACAAACAAAAACAGAGGCAATTTGCTTCAACCCGACATATTACAATGCTTGATTAACTTAGCCTTACTTGTAACTAACGGGTGTTCAATAAAAAAATGTTCAGTCATATAGCTAGTAAAAAAAAAATGTTTCAACGAATTCAGTATTTTTCATTAAAAACATAATCTTTATTCTTCAAAAAAACTTCAATGAATTTTGGAGAAGGGGCCCTGGTTAGCCGTACGACGCAACTTAGTCGCGATGCTCTCACAAGAGCGCTGAACGGCACTGAAATCATTCTCATTTTTTATTGAACACCCGTTATTTACCAGTTTTGTCGATGAAATTTTCCCACCGTGCTGGTGGATGTGACTTACGTGTATGAAATGCACTTCTAATTGTGTTCCCATAGAGTGTGTGCAAGATAAACTGAACCTTTTGTGGCCACTCTGGAACCTCCTTCCTATGGAGAGTAACGAATCACTTCTGTCGTACCTACTACGTATATTCTACCACAGGCAGTACAGCAAAGAAGTAACAATGCACCGTGGCTTCTTATGGATGCGTTCCACCTTATACAAATAATAAACTGTAATCGTTTATTGCAAATTGTGCTATACACATCCTATATTGAGAGAATAGGGTTAATGTATCTAATGTCGGCCTAAGTGTCCCTAACATTGGGCCCATACAAATTTCGAAGGAATGTTTTGCCATTTTTTTCACTAGCAACCAAAAATATCCATTTGTATAGTCCAAATGATGCATTGATGAAAAATATAATAGTAGGGGATTTTTATCGATGGACCCAAATTGTAGATCCATAGACCAACATTGGAGCTATTTTCCCTATCTCTACTTTCATCGATTCGTGTTAATGATAATTATGGTTTATGACTATGAAGAAGATGCAGCCTCTCCATATACGTATGCTGTATTACGTGTGGAAAGAAATCCTCTTCAGTCCAGTCAATGGGTAGATGGGTTCTAGATTATAAACGTTGAAAGCCGTGATAAAGGAGATATACAGCTACTGTTGCATATTATCTTGTGCACTTGCAGCTTCAAATGAGGACAATGCAGAATATAATGCAAGGGGTAAACATAGCAAGTTGATGGATGGCTTGCATTCAGTGCAGGGAATAGTCATAACAATTACTTTTAATGGTCTGTAATTGAACAATGCTCAAATGGTTATACCAGGTGATTTACCTGAACAAAAAGATAAATGGTGAATAGTTCGAAAGGTCAAGTGCAGCATCAGGAAGTGCTCCTATTTAGCTTCTTATCTAGAAGATGAAGTAGGACTGAAATGGGTCTCATTATGAGTTTCAGTAACATACGGATACTATTTTTAGTACAAATACAGATGATCTCACACACATTTTATTTCACTCTTCTATTTCCAGTTTTCACATGGGGTCGGAAGATGGGCAAAAAATTCGATCTGCTGCGCCGTGGTAGTGATGCTCAGAAACTGCCAACGACACCCCCATCACCCAACACTCACGGCTGCGTACCTGTCTTCAACTCAGATACGATCAAAAAGAGTAAAACTATCCCATTAAAGGCGTACCAAACAACAAACGACTCAAACCTGGTGAAGCTCAACAGTGAGCGATCATCGGGAACGTTCAAGAGCTTCTTCTATCGTATGGGCTCGACTGGGATGCTGAATCAACGATCAAATCAATTTCAGAAGCAGCAACAGCATCAAACCAATCAGCAGCAGCTTCATCAACCGCAGCAATCAAGTCCCCAGCATAATACACCACCTCAACTGGGCTTCATGGGTATGGGCAAAACCGATGGACACTCCACGCTGTATCGCAGTAGTTCGACTAGTCAGTTGAACACTTCATCCTACATCAAGTGTGATGATCCAACCGAAGGCGTGAATTTGGCCAACGGAAATCACAAGAACGCTGTCAGCAGTACAAATTTGAACATTTCCTCAATGGAGCAACCGAAGACGAAGCAATCCCCAGCAACAAAGTCTTCCAGCTGTGATGACATAGCACGAGTGGCTGCAACTCAGGAACAGCTATCGAAGAAAAATCATTTTCCGTATTCATTCCTCCGATCCAAACTATCCGTACTTCCCGAGGAAAACGGAGGCTCAGTTATAAACTACAATCGAATAAAGGAGAATCTGCTTCGATCGGGAAATCGAGGGTCGGTAATCAGTCTCCGATCAGATTTCGATAACATTTCGATTACAGATTCACAGTTGAACATCTCAGACACCGGAGACGTATTCTTATCTGGAAACGACTCCAAGTCCATCACGGCTATCGACCTAAGTTCAATGTCTCGTAACAATTCCATCAAGACTTTTACGGACGACCACAGCCTTGTCAGCAACTACCAAAGATTGAGCAGTTGTCTTAGCAGCAACGAGTCCGGCTACGACAGCGACGGACGGCACGCTGAGGATAAGATCGACGAAAATGGATCCAACTCGACTGCAACTAGTTTGACGGTTCAGCATGGCGCCACCGGTGTAGTGGATCCATACGCCGACGCCATCCGGAGCAAGGATCAATCGTACATGTTCGGCAGCCGGAGACGGATGTCGTCGTCTAGCTCGATTGCATCGATACAGAATTTGGACTGCAGTACGATTAGAAGACGCTTTCGGCAGATCAAGCTGGAGAAGTACAGCGCTGACGAGGTGATCGGTATTGAACTGACGCCACAGACGGTGAACATGGACGAGGGAGACTGCGAAACTAGGTATCTGGTGACGGAGATCGATCCGGAAGGAATTGCTTACAGGTTAGTGCACGCAAAACAAGCGGCGTAGGTAAAGCATGGAAGCATCCCGAGCAGGAACGAATATCTCGATACCTTAAATTGGTATGGATGAGCCTGACATAAGAGGTAGAATACCAAAAAATAATACCAAAAAAAATGTTCCCACAATACCATTCCAATACCAAATTATGATAATGCTATAGCAAAACAATACCACCCAGGTATTCTTTTGGTATCCAAATATCAATTTTTGGTATTTACAAAGATTTTCCATGTAATTTTTTGGTATTATTCTTTGGTATTTTATCTCTTAAGTCATGCTGGTCAATACCAAATTTTAGTATCAGATCAGAATTAGGTATTCATTATTTATTTTCTCCTGCTCGGGATGTCTTTCTCACAGTCTCTTAAAATAATTATCATTAATACAGTGCATGAACTGACATAGCACTGCTACATGAGATTTTCGACATGATTGAAGAGCATCCTCTTGAATGTGATATTAAAATTTATGTTTTGCTGTGTCAGCTACCCATGTGCGTTTGCTGTTGCTTTTGATAGCCAATACAACCTGTTACAACTCTGCATTGAACAAATTCTAGAAAATTGTTTTGCTTAGCTGTAGCAATGCAAAGAGAAAATCGATGAAGATAATCGATCATCGCGTTTACGCCCTTATGCATGCTCATTGTCAAATTATCTGAAAATCTGCTAACGACCACATTACAAAAGCTGAATATGTCGTGTTTCCTTATAGATTCTATACATGTTTTGCACTAAACTTACATTCCCTGGATGGGTGAGGTTGGGAAAATAAAAATGTGTAAATATTATGATATTTTGGATTGCGGATCAACACGATTCAGAATAAGTTACTGAATGATTATGTGAGATCCGTCCCGTTAGAGGATAAAATCTACTAAACTCTGGTTCTTGTGCTAACCTATTCTTGTTGAATGATATGAGACTAAATTTCCCTTTTTCCATTTGCCTTAGCACTGCACGTAGCCTCGTTTCTGTGGAGAATTAATCTTCCCATGCATGTCAGCCGATGTGCCCGCCTCTTGAAGTCTTAAAAAAATGAAATGAAAATCACTCTACTGTTCCTTGAACATCTACTACTCTTATCCTTGCTACTTGAAATTATTTTTGATTTCCAATTTTTTCTTTCCATAACATGCTTATTGCTTATCTATTAGTGGAAAAACTCAATTCAAATTTCAATACTTTTATCAATTTTTTATCATACTAAACATGTTTACTAGGAGCACTATCCATTTTAAAGGATGTATTCGATAAAAATGGCACACCGAAAATCTTCTCTAACTTTTGAACCGTAAGAGTAACAAAACCTGAAAATTTGAGTAAATCTTATTCATAGTGTTTGCATCTGTCAAGTTTCATAGTTATTCATACAGAAATTCCAGTCATGTCGTCGAAACAAGAAATTGTCCATGAATAAAATTTGGCACTTGCAATCAAAATCCAGAGACGTCCCACCCACGGATCGCTAAAAAGCTTGGAATTGCAAATACAACTGTGCCTTTTTGTGATAAGAACCTTCAAGGAGCATCTGAGCACTCGAAGGAAGAAAGGGAGTGGTCATAAAAGTGGTCCAATGGACAGTAAAATGGCCAGGAAAATGGTGCACCAGTTCAAGAACCGTCCAAACATGTCAATTCGAGGTGTCGCTAAAATGTCCAAGGTGTCAGCCGGTTTTGTGCAGAAAACCATGAAGCGTGGTGGGGTACATGTTTACAAGATGCAAAAAGCCCCAAACCGGAATGAAAAGCAAAACATCACTGCGAAAACCCGCGCTCGGAAACTTTACACGAAGTTGCTCACCAAATCGTGTTGGATTGTGATGGATGACGAAACTTACGTCAAGGCTGACTTCCGTCAACTTCCTGGGCAAGAATATTTCGTAGCCAAGTGTAAGTTCGATGTTCCGGAGGATGATCGAAAGAAGAAATTATCGAAATTTGCATAGATATTCTTGATCTGGCATTGCGATTGCGGATGTGGTGAAATAAGCGCTCCCTTCATCACTTCCGGAACAATCAACGGTGCGATTTACACGGAAGAGTGTCTTAAGAAGCGTCTCTTGCCATTCATAAGGAAGCACAAAGGATCAACTCTGTTTTGGCCTGATCTAGCATCCTGCCACTACGCTCGAAACGTGTTCAAGAGGTACCGAGACAACGGAGTCAATTTTGTGCCAAAAGATATGAACCCACCAAATTCACCAGAAGTTTGCCCAATTGGAAACATCCCCGAGGGGGCACGCAATAACCTTTAATTCCAATGCAGTCAAGTGCTGTAATTTAATTAATTCCATTAATTACAGTTTTACCTACCTTAATTACACCATGCTACTTTTTAAGTCCATTAATTACAGTCGTAATTTCGTAATTAGAGTCAATTAACTACACGCAAACCAAAAATTTATTACAATGAATGTTAAATCCACTTCCTATCATTCTCTGTTCATGAACATCGCAGTGAATGTTAGAAGTTGACCTTACAGGCTATGTAAGGGTTTTTTGTCTTTTTTATTTCGTGTTCTATCTACGCTTTCGACTATACCAGTAAGCTTTTTATGTATAACATTGTAAAACGATGTACACACTTGCCTCGAATCTCTCCAGCAGAAAAAGCATACGAAACCGAGTATGAGAGGAAATGAGCGCTTCTTGTTTGCTTTTAGGCTATCCATATTCAGAAGCATGGAGAGAGCAGTGGAGAAAACACAGGTCTGATAATCGCAACGTTCGTGGTTTCGAGTCCAGTTGGCAACCTTTTTCCATTTTTTTTTACATAATTCTTTCACTCACTAATACCATCGGTTGGAAACTAACGATTTAAAATTGGCTCACTACTTGACTAGCCTATTGGTCCCAAGTTCATGTATAAGCGTACCCCATTCTAGTCGAAATTCTAGTACTACACTATGCTTGTTTTGATTCGCTATGAAAGTTTGACAGATAAAATGAGGGGTTTGTGGATTTTCCTATGTATCAAGGGGTGCATCGATTAGCATGGGACCGAAGAGAGTACCAGAGCTGAGCCAAAAAGTTGAGCACGTTTCTTCGGGACCTTCTGGTCTTAGAGTTACCTCTATCGAAGACAACAAATCAAGAAGACTGGCAACTCTGCCATTTTCTCATACGAACGCTATGAGACATGTACAATCGCGTCATCTGCCGCTCAAAGGTAAATGCTTCGAACGAATTTGATAGCAAAGATTACATCCTCAGAAGAAGGGTTTGTGTATTTGCTTATTTTTCTATGCGTTGCTTCCACCTTCACTCAAGCGCAGCGCCATTGTACCTGTCGTTTGGATTCTGGCAAAGTTGCCAGTCTTTTTGATTTGTTGTCTTCGCCTCTATGCTAATACCATAGAGGTAACTCTAACACTAGCAGGTCCCGAAGAAACGTGCTCAACTTTTTGGCTCAGCTCTGGTACTATCTTCGATCCCAAGCTTATCGATTCACCTCTCGAAACATTGGAAAATCCACTAACCCCTCATTTTATCTGTCAAACTTTCATAGCGAATCAAAACAAACCTTCTGTAGTACTAGAATTTTGACTAGAGTGGGGTACTAGACTGATGCAAAATTTGTAATTTTCGCTCCACAGTGCTCAAAAGGTTCCAAATTGGGCCCTGATTAGCCTCCAAAAATTTGAACTCATTTAGTGAGAAACTGACTTGGCAAAAACCATTTCAAGTTTATATGGGAACTACTATGGAAAAACCATAATTTCGATTCATATCTATCTCAAAATTCACTAGCTCACTCTACTTTAGAAAATGGTAGCTGAGCTTGTTGAAAATTTTCTCAGCTACAACTTTGTTGAAGACCAGTTTTCGATCAAATGTAAGGAAGAAAAGTTATTAATAATTCAAGTCACTGATGTCTTATGATTATGCTCAATCATCTGTTCAGCAGACAACATTGGTGTTTATGGCGCGTAGAATATAGGACCAAATCATGGCTGCTATGTCACACTGCAGAATACAGTGTTGCCCACAATACAGTTACTTAATCTTGCCATAAAATTATCAATCTCTTAAACAATTAATAACTATTTAATTTGACGTTTGGCTGGAAAACGATTTTGTGCAAAGTTATAGCTGATAAAAATTCCCATAAGAATAGCAATAGGATTTGTTAACAGTACAATATGTAAAAAAGCTAAAAGACAATGAACAAAAAGATTTGTTTTCCTATAGTAATTTCCATATAAACTTCAAATGGTTTGTGCCAAGTCAGTTTCTTGTAACATGAGTTTAAAGTTTTGGAGGCTAATCAGGACCCGATGTAAAACCGTTTGAATACTGTGGAGCAAAAATTTCAAATTTTGCATAAGTCTAGTACCAACAATCAATACGAAACTAACGATTTTAAATTGGCTCACCACTTTAGTAGCCTATTGGTCCCAAGCAAACGATTAACGTACCCTATTCTAGTTGAAATTCTATTACTACACTATGTTTGTTTTGATTAGCTATGAAAGTTTGACAGATAACATCAGGGGTGTGTGGATTCATGCAGAACATGCAGGGGTGAGTGAAATAGCTTGGGACTGCTTGGGACCGTTGTTCTGGTACTGAGTGAGCCAAAAATAATAATGATTTTCTTCGGGACCCAGTGGTCTTAGAGTTACCTCTATGGTACTACCAACAATCAATACGAAACTAACGATTTTAAATTGGCTCACTACTTGACTAGCCTATTGGTCCCAAGCAAACGATTAGCGTATCCCATTCTAGTCGAAATTCTAGTACTACGCAATATTTGTTTTGATTCGCTATGAAAGTTTGACCGATAAAATTAGGGGTTATTGGTTTTTCCTATGTTTCGAGGGGTGAATCGATTGCTTGGGACCGAAGAGAGTACCAGAGCTGAGCCAAAAAGTTGAGCACATTATTTCGGGACCTTCTAGTCTTAGAGTTGTCTCTATGGTACTACCATAGAGGTAACTCTAAGACCACTGGGTCCCGAAGAAAATCATTATT